ATTTTACCTGATTTCTACTCCAGATGCAGTAACTATCTTTGACCAGTGGGTGGCAAAAGTATTTAGTTAGTCCGCGGCATTTGGCAGCAGTCAGTCAGCTGTGGACAGAGGTTACAAAAGCGGCTGTGCTTATCTTAGAGCGTATACGGTCTGGTCTTGTGCCCGCAACCACTGAAACAGATGCGGCTTTCCTGAAGCAGTGGCCAGGGGAAGCCTCTGCTGAAGCCGAGGCCTACATGACTCTAGGCAGCTAGAAACTGTCTCTGAGCTGGGTGGATGTTTCTGAGCAGCTCAGCTGCAGTGTGTCTGCTGCTAGCCGGGAACGCCTGTGGAGAGAGGGTGGTTTCCGGGCCTAGGCTGCGGGCCGGATGGAACCCACAGCCTGTCCCAAATGGGGTGTAGGTTTCCAATATCCTGCTCCTGACAACCAGATATAGTGGGAAATTACCAATATGGAGTCAGGTAGAAATATAAGGGTATTTAATAGGGAAAAGCCTTACTTACAGAGCAACCTAGCCAGCCGGCATGGCAGCAGTCTGTACAGCAAGTACCAAAGTGAAACCGAAAGAGAAAACGCAGTTACACTACATCACTCTGACCACACCCTCACAAGCGTGGTCAGCCACACCTGTAGCCAGCCCCTAAGAAGGCATGGCTACAGCTTCCCCTACAATAATCCCCCAGAAATCCCATTTATTCAAGTGACAAAATTTTATAATTATTTCTTTATATGCTATTTAATTCATTTTGAATTTGATAGTTTTTGAAATACATTTTCATATATAATTGATGTATGCCACTCAAAAGAGTATAGTTTTGACAACTTCTGACATGCTTGTTTTATTCTGTCTCCTAGATAACAAATGTAACTTTTTGATAAATTTAGCATTTGTTATAAAATTTAGAATCATTTGTGATTTTAACCACAGTAACTTCTACACCAGGATTTTGTCACTTTGAAAAAATAACTTCTAGTATAATTGCTTTCTTTTCCACTACTGAGAACTCTACTGGCTTACTTAGGTATAGTCTGAATATTTTGTTAGTAATTGTTTTGCATACTTTTTAGAGTCCACATTTATAACATTACTTAATTTTTAAAGGTCTTTTTCTTAAACTCACTGCACACAGTAACTATGGCTCTAATTATATATCACCATATTTACATATCAGTTTTATTTTTATTTCTTTACTACTCATATTTACATATCCATCCCCTCATTCCCTTGTCTTCCCATCCTCCCATGTTCTCCACCAACCCCTCCCCACTCCCCAAGGATAGTGAAGCCCTCCCACAGGGGACCATGAAAGTCCTTCATATCATTTGGAGGTGGGCCTAGGCCTTCTTTCATGTATCTGGGCTGTAATAGTATCCCTCCATAGGGAATGGGATCCCAAAGTCCATTTGTGCTCTAGGGATAAAGACTGACTCCACTGTTAGAGGTCCCATAGACTGTCTTGGCCTCCTAGTTGTCACCCACATTCAGAGGGTTTGTTTCCCCAGCTTTCCTACTAGGGTCTCCATGTTCTCACTAGGTCAGGTCAACTATTTCTGTGGATTTCTGCAACAGCATTTTGGCTCCTTTGCTCATCCATCCTCCTTTTCCACAACTGGATTCCAGTAGTATGGGTCAGTGCTTAGCTGTGGGTGCCTATTTCTATTTGGAACAACAACTGGATGAAGGCTCTAGGAATGGTAACCAAGGTAGGCATCAATCTCATTATGGCATCCTCTCCAATACTGCCTGGCTTCTTAGTTGGGGTCATTTGTATGATTTTTTTTAAGTCCCAGGCTCTCTATTTAAATACTATAAAGCCAAAAAAGGAAGAAAAATAATTCTTGAATTGGTATCATCATTGCTGAAACAAATGAAAATTTCATTAAGAGAATTCAAGAAATTGAAGTTAAAGGTTTATTTGAATTTGAGTTTTAAATGTCACCTGCACATACTAATAGAATTAATCTTAATTTCAGCAAAGCTTAAGAATTAGTCTAGCTTGAATTATTCCTGAAAAGAGACATGCATGTCTTAGTCATCCAACGTGTGTGTGTGTGTGTGTGTGTGTGTGTGTGTGTGTGTGTGTGTGTGGAGTGTATGTAGGAATATAGTAGGTATGCATTTACATGTGTGCATGTGAAAGCCAGAGATCAAGACTGGGTATCATTTTCTAACATGTTCCTAGCTTATTTTGAGGAGAAACACATTTTCTGAACCTGGAACTTATTGATTGACTGGGCTGGCTACCAGGATCTCCAAGTAGCCTCCTGTCTCCAATTCTACAGTGCTGAGATGAGAGTTCTCATGTATAGAAGCTAAGAGACCTGCTCCAGCTCCTACCTGGAGTCCCAAACGTGAAGTGCTTCTCAGGAGACAAAGAGACAAAAAATTTCTATGGCAACTTCACACACAATCTGAGCATCAATATTTACATATCAGTGTTATTTTATACAATGAGAACTGTTGTTACAATTATTCTCTATAAAGTATCTGTACTTTGGTTATTTCAACTCAATTTGTAATTTTAAGATATCTTTGTTATGAATTATTCTAACTGAGAAGTGCTAGACAAATGCATTCACTAGGGTGGTATAAATATGTAATATCTAGAATAGATGACATTGAAAGTGGTGGTCTTTTAAAGGGTTCCATGGTAGAGAAAATTAGCAGGAATGATTTTAAAAAAGGAGGGATTTAACTGGACATAATTCATTTTTCAGAAGAGTTGGGAGCTCAGGTCCTCCTATGAAAATTAAGCAATGCAAAGAAAAACAGACCCAAAGCAAATTTCTCCAGATTAATCTTTACATTGAGCTTCTTTGCCCCCCTTCTTTGTCCTGTTGTGCACAAGCTGTTTGGCTCATCATATAGACATTCATTTATTTTAAATTAATAATTAAATGGGGAGAACATGCAAATAGATTAGAATCTTCTTTGAGAAAAAGTAATTTGTTTTTTTATACAATCATACTTTCCAGGAGATTGGATGCTTCAACTATGTGCTTTTCCATGAGAAGCAAACACATGTATATATTTATGTTGTTCACAAATATTCTGTTCATATATGGATAAAAATATACAGTCTCCTGAGTGCATTTAGTGTTGCTTGAATGTATGTACTTTTGGGACTAATGACTTTGCAGTAGATAACCATTTAGCAGGTGCATACCAGGGTATGTTAACTCTCCCCCAGAGATCTGAATCATTTATAGTAATTCATCTAATAATAATCACGAGATTATTCTGCTCCATGTTGGTGCATCAACTATTGTGATCTGCTGAGGCATCCTATCATTAAAATTCAGAGCAGCTGCTTACCTGTTATATATAGAAGACCCAATTTCTGAGCTGACCTCATGGTCCTCCGGTTCTTACATTATTTCTACTCCCTCTCGCATACTCTTCCCCAAAGTTATGTTATGTGATAAATATATCATTAGGCCCTGGGTATGATACTAGTCTCATGTTCTCTGCATGTCGATTTGTTCTATCTATGATTGTCTCACATGAGCACGGACACAAACACACAATTAAAACAAAACCAAATAAACAAAAAAGCCAAAAAATATTCATTTGATAAATGGTGAAACTGCACGTATCTGTAATTTTAAGAAGTTTGAATGCAGTTAAGACATATAGTAAATTCTAGTTAATCATCCCTAACTTCACCAGCTAAGAGTTATCAGGTTTAAAGTACTAGGCATGAATTTCACCTTGTCAGTGGACCTTAAGCCGAATTTAGGGCTTTCAGTTACTGTTAATATGTAAGGGCCACATTGCACATTTGGGAATAGTTTGTCATGATCGTCATTGTCTTGGTTTATAGGCATTAGAGTTGTGTCGGACTATTGATTACTTTCCTTCCTTGGCAGTTTTCATATAGTTTCTACTACAAAAAGGAGACGTAGAAGAGCTTAATTACACTGAGTTCTGCTTCTCAAGCATGTGTTTTATTCAGAAATAGGGGAAAATTTCACCTTCTGGGAGACAGCAAAGGGCAGCACAATATTCTATGTCGTTTGGGAGCTTCTGAGCTCTACTGGCCAATAACTCAAAATGGGACTCCTCATGCCTCTTACTGGGGCTCTTGTTAGATAATCTCTAACTCTTCGGGGGTAGTATCACCTCTAGCAGCATAAAAATACATACATGCATACATACATACATACATACATACATACATACACACACACATACATACACACACACACACACATATATATATATATATATACATATATATTGCTATAAATATACTTATATATTCACACAAACACATAGCACATAACATGTACATTCATATAATACAATATAGTATGATTCCCTAAGGGTTTCTCAAACATTCTTGACATTGTTTCCTCACTTCCTCTTCTTCAGTCTTGACCTTCTTTATTCCCCTAGCCCCGTTAGATCCCTTTCGCCTATTTTCCAATTTCTTTTTTTCTTTATTTTTATTTAAGTTAGAAACAAGATTATTTTACATGTCAATCCCAGTTCCCTCTGCCACTCCTCCTCCTCTGCCCGCCCAACTAACACCCTACCTTTTCCATACCCTTTCTGCTTTCCAGGGAGGGTGAGGCCTTCCATAGGGAGTCTTCGGAGTCTGTCCTATCCTTTGGGATAGGGCCTAGGCACACTTCCTTCTGTCTAGGCTCAGTTTCTTATTTGTAATTAACTGCATTCTGTAATTCCCCTGACTAGAATTCCCTCACCCATTGTCTGTCTTTATTTCCTGGTTTCTGGGGTTATTTTGGGTTATGTGCACACATCTAAAGACATCTGAAGAGTTGAAGCTAAGAAGCACCAAAAAAGGACACTTGGCATTTGTCCTTTTGGATTGGGTACTGCATTCAGTATAATAATTTTTGGTCCCACCCGTTTGCCTGTAAATTTATTGCTTCTTCACAGCTGCATAATATTGCATCATTGTGAATATGACCACATTTTCATTATCTATTCATCAGTTAAGAGCATTTATGTTATTTCTATTCCAAGTTACTGTGAATAGACAGACAATGAATATAGCTGACCAATTATCAAGGGACTAGGTATTAAAGTCTTTCCATAAAGGCTAAGGAGTGGCATATCTGAGCCATTTGGTAGATATTTCCTCACTTATTTCTAGAGTGGCTGAAGCAGCCTGTAATTCCACCAATAGTTAATAAGAGTTCTCTTTACATTAAAACTTGACTAGCATTTGTCATTAGCTATTTTCTTGTTAGCCATTCAGACTAGTGTAAGATGAAATCTGAAGGTCCTTTTTTGATGGCTTTGTATCACATTATTTTCTTTATGTCAGTACTAGTCATTATTAGAGTATATTTCAGAAAATGGCAAATATATAACTATTACGAAGTATGAAAGATATTTTAAAGAGTGTTTACACTATATGATTAAATATTATTTCATAAAAATAATTTGCAATGCTTTCAAAAACTGTGTAATGGCATGGAGTAATTTCCTCGACTGGAAGTAAAATGCACATGAAACTTCTTGACTCCAATGGAATGACACTAATGGGTTCACTCACCTGAGTGCCTGAGAATAGACATGTCTT